TCTCTCTCTCTCTCTCTCTCGCCTCGGCTAAGGAGTGCAGATCCGAATCACAACATTTGCGGAGCCGCCAAGAATCCGCCGGGTGCTAACTGCGCAGCCACGGGCGGGCCCAAGGACCTGGATGATTGCTTCTGGGCTCTTCTTGCGGAGTTAGGCTCCCTTAGGGTTCCTTAAAGGGATCTATANNGGTTTCTATAGGGTTACTATAAGGGTACCATAAGGGTAGGTGCTAGGGTTCAGGGCTTCGAGCCAATATGAATGTCATCTGACAGGTCAACACGCCTTGTTTAGTAAGGTGCGCAAGCAGGCAGCTAAGACCACCGAAATACCCTAAACCCTAAACCCTAAACCATGTACGAACCTGCACCTTTTCTGCAGCGACCAAGGCTTCAAGTTCATGTGGGACACCTGGAGCCTTGGCATGGGCTGAAAAAAGCTTTCAAGTTTATATTTCATACTAGTTTTAAAACTTAGGGTTTAGGATGGATAGTAACGGATAGTACAAATGTGATTCTCATCACCACAACAAGTATGAACGGTGGCCTTAACCCGAAATGCAAAGCTCTTTTCACTGCCATGATGATTGTACACTTTGAGGAGAAGCCAGTCGAAGTGGACAGAGAAGAAGCTCAAAGAGTCTACAGCTGACTGGCAGATCATCGCGACACACTTCCAGTGTGGGCACCAGGCGCAGTGGCACCTTGAACAGTATATGGGAGCTTAAGAGACCAAGGACCATAATACAAACCCCACAAAGCTAGGATGCTTCAGCGGCTTGCTTGAGAAGATGCACTTTGGGTAGAAGCCTTTTTCGGAATTGGGCTTCTGGTTGAAGCTCGTTTTCAGGCTTCAGGACGTTGGTTTCATAAGCATCACACAGCATGGTGGCCAGAAGACGAAATCATGCAAACTAGCACAAACGACCACAAGTAGAGAAACTACACTTGTATCACCTAGGAGCCCCTACACCCCCAATAGCCCGATGCGTGTAAGTCTTGATCTGATACTTATGGACCCACCCCATTAGGGTTTTAGGGTTTAGGGTCGTAGGGCTTTAGGGCTTTAGGGTTTAGTTTAGGGTTTTAGTTTTTCCGCTTGAGGGATTAGTTCCCATGAGCCTGCAAGTGGAAGCAGCCAAGGTATAAGAAGCTGCATCACGAGCTCGGCTTAGACCTCCTAGTGACAGGCCACACACATGTACAGAACATCTTCGACAAGTGGTCCGTCCTAGGTGAGGGTTTCGCAAAAGAGTATGAGAGTTGTTCTCCATTGGTGCTACAGGATTTATGGCTTTATCAAGAACAGAAGTACCTTGTAAGGGGTTCCTAGTATTTAGGGTCTGCACTTGGTGTCCGTACCTCCTGAAACAGGTGGGTTGACCTGCTTCATTACGGGCGGTGGCGGTGGCATCACATCGGAGGTCTCGCCCGCAAATGAGCGCTCGACGGCCTATGGCTTCTTTGACCTTATCTTCACGAAGGATGAGATTAAGCTTGAGTCCATCAACTTCCGAGGCAACAAGGTCGGCAGCGCCACCGTGACGCCCGTCGCTAGGAACGTGACGGATGCGTAGCCGCAAGACAAAGCAAAGCCTTCTGTCCAAGGAGCTGTCCAGGATCTACATGCATGCAAGACACCACACTCTTCAAAAAGGCTCGCTTGCATCGTACATCTTCCCAATAGTAACGGCCATGGTCATCGTCGTCGTAGGTGTTGCTCTTGTGGCGGCAGTGGCAGCCGCAGTGTTCAACCTGCTGTGATTCCCTGAACTGCGCGTAGCAGACCGCGTATGCAGTCACAAGAACAGGTTTTGCTGTCCTTCCTTAGAGGTCACAGCGGAGCTGGACAAACGATTCTAGCCTAAACCCTAAACATCCCTAGACCCTAAACCCTAAACATCCGTAAACCCTAAACATCCCTAAACCCTGCGTAAACTCTCAACATGCTTTGAGCCATGGCGAAGCATTTGCAATGGTAGTCGGAATCCTGAGTACCGCAATCCCCGACCAGTTTACCAGTCACAGAGGGAAAAGACCCGCCAAAAAAGATCTTGGACCCAAAATCCTAAGCCTGCATCGAGGCCCATCTACAACCGACGTCTGCCACCTCGCCAGACGAGGTCTTCCAGAGAGCTTACTGTAGGAGCCGTAAATTAGGGTTTTAAGGTTTACAGGGTTTAGGGTAGGAGCTGTAAATCGTAGAGTAGGGCTTTGGCTTAGTATCAGGGGCCTTAATATTTTAGAGTATAGGGCTTTGGGATCCTCTATAGTATAAGTCGAATAAGGACCCCTAGGAAATGAGACTGCTGATGATATAAATCCTGCGTTACCTTAAGGACCCTAAACTATGGCAAGTATGGTGTATATTCCTTATTATGGTATATCATCAACCGCATTATAGTAATTGTTTAGGCTTCTTTGGTACATAGAGTAGGGCTTTGGGATCCTTTCTAGTCCAGAGGTCCCCAGTAGTGCCCTTTTGCCTTTGTCTTTTTTAGGATCTCCTTGATTAAACCGAAGACTGAAAAAGGGAACCCTAATCATTCAGGGGCTACTGGGCAATCTAGAGTATACTAGAAAGAAGGCCCCCTACGGAAGAATATTGGTAATCGTTTAGGCTTTTATAGTAGGGTTTCGTGGATGGGCTGAGGCTCGCCCAGAGAGCCCCTTTAATCCAGGAATAGTCATGAAACCATAGGATAATGGCCTGTCTAGTTTAAGGTATATATTCCTTGATTAAGGGGTCATGGACGCTCTGAGCTGATATTATCGAGAGTGTTGCCTGCGCTTCTGATAGCAGGGATTTGTACGGATTGTCATTCATAGGCCTTTTAAGATGTGCTTGAGTTTCTTGGATCCTTTTCTTGCCCCTGCGATCACTCCCTGGCCACTTACCTGCCTGGAAGTGTATGCTTCGCGCGGCTGCCTTCATTGTTTGGAGTCTAGGTAGAGTTGTCGAAGCTGCGCCGAGCTACAACGGATCATGAACACATGCATGAGCAATGCTGCTTTGAACTCGACATTGTACTTGTGCTCGGTACGCATGGAAGCAACAGTGGAAGCAACAGAATCAGACGAAGTCAGCACCCGAGGAGACTGTGTCACTGAAGCCCAAGTTCGTTGACCGAAGATACCAACATCAGCGATTCTGAACACAACTCTTCGCCAAAGCGAGAGCCATTCGCACTGTCGGCCACTGATCAAGCCCTGCACCACGTTCCCAAAGTAGTAGGGGCAGTAGTAGCCGTCGTTGTCGTCGTCGTCGCCTTCGTTGTCGTCGTAGGGGTAGTAGTCGTCGTCGTGGTGGTGGTAGCAGCAGTAGGAGAGAAATGTAGCAGTAGCGGCAGCAGAGGAAGGAGCAGGAGCAAGAGCAGGGGGGCGAGACCAGGAGCAGGAGCGGTAGCAGTAGTCGTCGTCGTCGTCAGGAGCGGTAGCAGACGCAGTCGCAGAAGCGCAGCCGCTGGTCGCAGGTGGCAGGTCGCCGTCGTCGTCGTCGGTAGTGGTGGTGACAGTTGTGGTGGTGGTGGTGGTGGTGGTGGTTGTGGTGGTGGTGGTGACGGCGGCAGTAGCAGCTATGAGTGCAACGACCAGAATGACTGCTTTGCTTTCATTCTCGACTGCTGCTCCCCTTTCCCCTCCGACGGTGGCTCAACATCGTGAGCGTCGGCCTCTTGAGATTTAAAACCTCAAGAAATCGCATCAAGCCCTAAGCTTCAAGCCTCAGAAAACAAAAAAAGAAAGACCAGAAGGAGCCAGCCACGGTTTAGGGTTTAGGGTTTAGGGCAAGCCAAAGCTGCCTTCTCGCAGTCCGACACGGATTCTGACTCGAGCAGCTCGAGCTCGGCTTCGGAGTCGTCGGACTCAGAGGAGGACAGCTTACTATAGGGGCCGCAATAATTACCTATATTATCTTGGGGGTCTCCTTATGAATAATTCTAGTATAATGAGCCTAGATGAAGGTTCGTGGCTAGTTGCAGGTGGAGTGTAGGGCTTAGACTTTCGGCTATAATTCTAATTGCATTTCGGGGGTGCCCATATAAAGGTTAAAGAGTTATAAGTATGCGTGAGATGAGAGTGGGCTCTAGAACTCACAAGGCTTCAGAGGCTTTAAGGGTTCAGGGTAGTTTCAAGTTTGGGTATAGGCACCTTCATTGGGTGTGAATGATTCTAAGTAGAGTTTGGGGCTTGGGTCTTGACACGTGCATTTGATGCTTGCACGCTTTGAGGTTTAGGGGCGATAGTTTGGGGTCCGTTCCAAGGGTCGGGTTTAGGGGATTTGGTGTGGGGGCGCAAGCTTCGAGGATCAGTGGGTGCAGCATCTTCTTGGAGATTGGCGAGGGGTTAGGTGTGGGGTTAAGGGTAGGGGTCACAACCTATACCCCGAAACGACCGCGAGAGAGAGAGAGAGAGAGCGAGCGAGAGCGAGAGTGAGAGTGAGAGGTAGAGTGTGAGAGTGTGCGAGCGTGAGAGCGAGAGCGAGAGAACGAGAGATCGAAGGAGCGAGGGAGCGAGGAAGAAAGGCATAGATGTTTTTGTGTACATATATTATATGTGTTCACAATCAGTCTATATATGTATGTACGTTAGGTAGGTAGTCAGGTAGGTAGGTGGGTAGGTAGGTAGGCAGGCAGGCAGGTAGGTAGGCATGTAGGTAACCGCTGTAGGTATGTGTGTAGGCATGTTTGCATGTAAGTCTCTGTGCTTGATAAACAGGTAGATATACAGATACATACATATACATATATGCACATGTACACGTATTTACATATGTGTATATGTACATCCTTATACATGTACATGTGTTTATATATATATATACATACATACACATATAAAAATTGCAAATTTTATATGTATGTTTGCCAGGACTCGGAGGGGGACGACAGCTCGAACAGCTCGGAGGCCAACAGCTGGACTTGAGGTCCTGGAATATACTTCATCAAGGCTTAAGGTGTAGGAGGGTTTAGGGTTTAGGGTTTAGGCGTAGGGCCTTGCCCTGGGATAACCGTAGGCGAAACTTCGAGTGCATCGTGCTTCGGCGGCAAGTTGTTAGCCTGATCGTAGGAGGTTTCTCTTGATTCGAGAGGCCCTCAGAGGGCTCAAGACCCTAAACGCAAAGCCCTAAACCCTAAACTCTAGATGCTACCTTTTCCCCTTGCATTGCCCGAACAAGATCCTCGGGGTTGGATTGGGGTATCACGGGCATCTCATTTTGGGGTTCCTTCTAATCTGGTGCGTCTCAGGTTTGTGGCTTACCGGACATTTTGTGCCATTGCTACTGCTTCAAAGCTCGAGGACCCGGTGGGCCGTGCGGGCCCGGTTGCTCCTCTTTTGGTTGGCCCCATACACAGGTGGAAAAAACCGCGAGACAGAGAAACGAGCGAAGAATTCTCGAGCGAGTTGACCCGTTCCTGGATCGAGTCGAGGGCCTGTGGATGAGCCCTGAAGACGGAGCCACAGGCCACGTGTGGTGCGGCATCAGGACTGCGTCGCCACTCTCTGCCTCTGAAAGTTGTTCCAGCGGCGATTTTCCTGGAGAGGAGGCTAGCTAAACCGGAAACCGTGAACCCTTTGTTAAGCAACAAAGAAGGCTTAACCTCTGATGGTCCAAAGTGTACATCGCACAGAATACCAGTGAAAATCCTCCATCCCTCAACTCAGAGAAGCCCTGAACCCCTGCCTTAAACCTCTGTCCGTGAAGCCCTAAACCCCAAACCCTAAACCCTCAAGAGAGAAATACGTAGAAATTGCTTGCGGCTGTTGGCCATCCGGAAACCTATTTCATTTCCGGTCGGGACACAGCCTTTCCAAGTTCGATAGACCAATTTCCGTTTCAGGGCTAAGCAAATCAACCCGCCCGGACCAGAGCCCAGCCAGCCCACTAGCCCAGCCCAGCCCAGCCTGGCCCACCCAGACCGCGGTTGGACCCGCCCAGCCCAGCCGCCCCGCCACAGCCCATAGCCCACAGCCCAGCCCCCACCAATTCCGAAACCAAGTTTCTAAAGCAAAACGTTTCGGTCAAAACGTTATTGGCACCCAAACCCTTAACAAATTCTATGAAGTATCTATAAAGTACTTATAGAGGAACCCTAAACCCTAAACCCTAAAACCCTAAACCCTGAACCCTATTTAGAGGAACCCTAAAAAAAGACGAGGCCGCCGAGGAGGCTGAGGCCGAGGCTGAAGAGCATCAAGAAGAGGCCGAAGAGCAGGAGCAGGTGGGGGGGAAAAAAAGGGTACCGTTTTAGGGTTAGGGATTCTACGGCTTAGGGTTTAGGGATTAGGCCACGGTTCTAGAGTTTAGAAGCTTTTCGTAAGTTTTACAAAGGGTTTCGAAGGTTTTGTAAGGGATTAAAGGTTAAGCGTATCGCATAAGCCTGAGAAGCGCCTTCTTACTGTACCTTCTACCGGGCTTTCCCAAGTTTCCTAGTGAGCTTCAGCAATTTTGTGGCCTAGGGCTTTGAGGGTTCGGGTTGTGGTGTAGGATTTTGAGTGCCATGTAAGGGTTTCCATCAAAAGGGTTTTCAACACTCTCTTAAGCTGCAGAAGGACTTTATCACGGATTGATAAAGCT